GCTGACCCCAAACAATCTCATTGCCAAGTACATATCCCCAGTGTTAAAGAGGCCTACCATTATTAAAAAGTGCAATGAGGAACCGTTTAGGTTTTATCAGATGCTACATGATTGGCTAGGATTTTCAGATGATGGAAATGCAAACTATTGTCAATTGCCAAAGGTGTCTTAGAAGTCTGGAATGAAAATCTTGTAGTTCCTTGCTACCAAAGAGTCCATTCATATGGTACCAGAAAAGGTTCAAACCTTTAGATGATAATATAACAGTGTTTTGGGAAAGATTTGGGAGCTATTAATGGTATCTGTCCCTTTCCTCAGATTTTTTAAAATTTATTTTGACTTCATTGTACTAAAAACATTAGCAGTATAGATCTGTTGGCAGTTGGATTTGAAAACAGTTGTTTTTCTGGAATTTATGAAGAAACCATTAGTGTTACTTGCTACCGATAGAGTTCTCTGCAGTTAATCCACAGCAGGGCAGCCACTCTTGTGAAATTGTTGATTTTGTTTTCTTCAGAGACATTCAAAGGGGAACAAGCACGTTCTTGTGTTTTTTTACTCCACATATTGGATGGGGAGAGAATTAAATGTGCTTTAAAAAACTTACAAGTATTTTTTTCTTCCCAGTTAAACCTGCCTCTTTCTTGTCCTTTTTAGGTCAGATGTACCAGCAGTACCCACAGCAGGCAGGCTACAGTGCTCAGCAGCCGCAGCAGTACGGTATTCAGTATTCAGGTGAGCAGGTGTCCCGCTGGAGCTGGCTCGTGGTGGTGGAGCTGGTGCTGCACTCATCAAACTTTAATCCTTTCCTCTGAATTCCTTGATTTGTAATACTTACATTGCCATAGCAGCTAGTATTTATATATTGGGGAAATAACATGTGTTGTATTTATTTTAAAATAGTTGCATAAATATTTTGTTGTAAATCAACTTCAGTTTTCCAGTGGGCACGTAAAACTTGTAATCATAGTAGGTGATTCTGTAATAACTTGTAGTATAAAAAAATTTTTAATTTAAGCAGTTTTTAATACAAAGCCATCTCCTACTGGTGTGTTCAGCTTACCTCTTCGGTGACTCAGAACTGCAAAAATGCAAGAGTTTTTGCCCCATTATATGTAATATATAAAATGTAACATAATCCCAGTATACTTGTAATTCCTATAAAAATACTAATAGTTCTCTCATAGATGGAAAGGTGATCTTACTAAAAAGAACCAAATTACGTTCCTTAGGTGTTTAAATCTCTCAGAAGTCTGTAGGAATACCAATAACAAGCCAAAGAAATAGAACTATATAAAATGTAATTCAGGCAACTAAGAAGTTTAGTTGTTTGAAATAGACATCCTGGGTATTTTGTTTTATCTTCTGATCATTGAATATTATCCATATTTAAATATGATAAATCTCTTTAGTGTAGCTTTGAACATAATGATTATAATAATTCAGGTAATTTTACATTTGTTAGAGAGTTTGTGTTCAACTCTTTATTTTACAGTGAAAGATTTAAGTATCGGATTTCAACTGTAATTAAAAATAGTTTACGTAAGTTGATTCTTGTCTAAATTCTATTTTATGGAGCTCGGCAGGAGTCGGCAAACTATAGCCCACAGGCCAAATCAGGCTTGTCGCCTATTTTTGTGAATAAAGTTTTATTGGAACACATCTACACCCATTCATTTTTGTGCTGTCTGTAGCTGCTTTGGCATTATAATGGCAGATTTGAGTAATTGCAATGGAGATCGTGTGGCCCACAAAGATCTAAAATATTTGCTATCAGGCCCTTTACAGAAGAAAAACTTTTTTGCATGTCCCTGAAGTAGACCATAAAATTCTTTCATAATTGGAGTTTGACATATTTTAACATATAGCAATTTTTATTTGGATTGTATTTGCTATGATTTAACCTGTAGCTGGTAGTTTTTAATTATATAAAATTGGTGGAATAAATGCAAGCTTGGAATTTTATCAGAGGAAAGGTTATTTTTAGGATATAGTCCTTTAAAATCAAAGTGTTGTAAATTATGTAATTTGTAGAAATAAGAGCTATCAGAGCGGAAGAGACCTAGTCATTATCTATTCCAGGGCAGTTTAGCCCTCACTATGTTTCAGAATCACATGAAGAGCTCTTTTTGAAAGTTACAGGTACCTGAGCCCTACTCCCAAAGATTTTGTTTTCATTGGTCAGGGGTGGGATTCAGGCTTTGATATTTTAAAAGCATTGCAGGTCATTCTCAAGTGCTGCCAGTGTTGGGGACGCTGATCTTGTCCCACCCACTCATTTTCTAAATGAGGCAACTAGGGTTCAAAGAGGTTGTGATGCATTGAGGGACACGCAGCCCTTTGGTGGAGCTGTTAGGTCAAAACCCACTGCACTTGACATTACAGTTATTACTTCCCTGTATCATTCTGCATTTTCCAACCTAAATCAGGGGTTGGCAGACTTTTTTAGCCTTTTCATAAGAGACTAGACAGTAAATATTTTAGGTTTTTGTGAACCACATGATTCCTTGTCTTATACTATTCATTGATTTGAAAAAATACAATTTCCATTTCTTGAAATTTCTGGTATTCACCAAAGTTACTCATTTTTCAAGGGAGAGGATGGTGGTGGGAGGGAGACTGTATACATAATAGAAGCATTGCTACATTGTGGTCAAAGATTCTAGTAGGTTCTAATGAAGTGACATCTTAGGCTCTTAAGGGTTAATCCCTCTTCTGAGAAATCTTAAGGATCTTGTTTCCACTCAGTTAAAAAGCCAGTTTAGATTTCAGTTGCCAGGATGAAAAGGTAGTTTTTGGTTTTTGTTTTGTTTTGTTGTTGTTGTCTTTTTTGCTCACAGTCTTACGTTCAATAGCCATTTTCAGTATAAAAGCTGAGTCCTTCTGTTTCTCCAAAAACTTACAGTGAAAAAACTAAGTTAAACTATGTAGAAAATAGGAGAAATTGTATGACATTCAAGATCATGAATTGACTTTAGTTCAGTATTCAGATGCTACCATAAGAAAATGCATTAGACATTTGATTTACTTATTAAAAATTAAGCTTGCTCTGAATGATTTTAGTGAGGGTCTCCACTCTGAGTAAAATTTAGCTGTTTTCAAATTATCTTTGTATTTATGATCCCACTAGTTCTTTTAACTTGAATTTGATTGAGAGATGATATGGGAATAGTCACTTAAATACTCTGCTTGGAGACCCTAAGTGGTGGTGGTAACTTTAGACCATTTTTGACACTGTTGGTTTGCCAGTTTTTCTCTGACCTTTTCCAGTTTTATTCATGGACTATGTCAAAAAGGTTTTTTTCATGAGTAAATTTTGAACCCAGGTTCAAGGTGAGTTCAGAATATACTCAACTTCATTCAATCATTTTTTTATTTAAATGCAGGGTTGTACATATTTTAATAATTTTCTTATGTATCTGGTATTTAATGCTGACAGGATTCCAGTCAATGGAGAGTTTTCATTGCAAGTAGCTGCAGGTGTGTTTCATGGTAGAGATAAAAGTTTTTAGTGAAGCAGACTTTTTCTTGTAAAAAATTTACATCCTTAGTAAATAATGAATACAGATGTTGATTTTGTGGGGCAATATGGTATGCTTTTCGTATGTTATGTTCTTACTGTTGAATCAAAATTTTGAGTTGTAAAGGCAAAAACAGACCAAATCTAAAAGATTTTAAGGGTTGTGAAAATGGGTACTCAATGTTTATTCTTAAATGGCTTAGTTTTTATTTTTATAGAGTGACTAAACCTTTAAAGCATCTCAATAGCACAATAAGATATATTTGTAGCATCTCAGTAGCACAATAAGATGTATTTGTAGCATCACTGTTAAATTTTAAAATATTCTCTACAGTGTGTTTTTATTTGGTACTGTTGTTAAATAGGCCTTCCCTCAAAACCAGGTTAATGACTAGTTTTTGCATTAATTCCAGGCTTTATCATTTGAGCATCTACTATATACTGGGAATTATGCTAGAACAGGAATTTGCTCTCAGGGATTATATAGTTTGGAATCAGTTGTAATGAAGAAAAATCTGTATAGTGGTTCAATTTAAGATGAGAGGGTTTAAAAAAAATTTAGAAAAATTTTGATACTACCAGGTCTTGAAATAATGTTATATGATGAAATGAATCTACTTTATTTGTTATATAAATACTTAGGAATAAGTTTGTTAAATTTCTCATAATTTTTGATCCATAACAGTAAAGACTGATTCTTTGGAAGATTTTCTCCAACAGAAAAATATCATACATATCTTATTTATGTTGCCTTTTCAGCAGGCTATAGTCAGCAGACTGGACCCCAACAACCTCAGCAGTTCCAGGGATATGGCCAGCAGCCAACTTCCCAGGCACCAGCGCCTGCCTTTTCTGGTCAGCCTCAGCAACTGCCTGCTCAACCGCCACAGCAGTACCAGGCGAGCACTTATCCTCCACATACTTACGCTACCCCAACTTCTCAGCCTACTAATTACACTGTGGCTCCTGCCTCACAACCTGGAATGGCTCCAAGCCAACCCGGGGCCTATCAGCCAAGACCAGGTTTTACTTCACCTCCGGGAAGTAACATGACCCCTCCTCCAAGTGGGCCTAACCCGTATGCACGTAACCGCCCTCCCTTTGGTCAGGGCTATACCCAGCCTGGGCCTGGTTATCGATAAAGAGGCTCAGCTACACTCACGAATGTAGCTGCTAGCTGTTTGCCTCCCAAAAGACTCCAATACTACTATTTTATTTTAATTTGTATTTGAAGTTCAGAAATTGAAAAAGCAGAGCATTTTTTATGAGATCATTGGCTGTTAATTAAAAAGTTTAATTTGCTAGACACCAAGACCAAAATGAAAGTCTTTTCTTCCCCTGCTGAAAAGTATAGCAGCTTTCTAGTAATTTTGGAACACTACTCATACTTGTGTGTAAAGTGATTGACTTTCTAGCCTGCCTTGTTCCAAGAATATTAAAATGCTAGGTTGAAATTTAGCTGTCTTACTTGGCTTTTTACTATTAACATGATGTACTAAAAGTAGATCTCTTTGAGAAGATAACTAGATATTATGTATAAAATGTAACATTGATAGGTTAATAAAGATGATTGAATCCATTAGTGGTCTTATAATTTAATCACTAATATACACACACACGTACATATGTATGTATGTGTACCACATGAAAAAAAAGCAAGGGAAAAAATCCTTATTGATGTTTGGTCTGAAAAGGAAGTATAGATGGTTTAACTTAGTTTTCTATTCAGAGAAACACAGTCCTATTTGATTTTTGTCCTAACTTGGAAGAAATGCATTTAACGATCATGGACTTAAAACAATGAAACATTAAAAGATGTAAGAGGGATTTGGTAGATCCTGAATAACCTTATGATTTTCCTTATAGAGATGAACTTTTCAGAAATAAAGAACTCAGCTTTAAAAAAAAATCTCTTTATTGCAGTTTCTACTTGATTGAAAAATACAAAATGTAGCATTGAAGCATGTTGAAAGGTAAGCACAGGGTCCTTTCAGAATGAGGGTAATGACACAGCATTCCCACCCCTTTCTCCAAATGAAGAAAATACCTTTTTAAATAAAAATTTGATTTTTAGTACAGGTTTAGAATTATGAAAACATTCTCTGATACATTCATTCCTAGAAATCGTATGTGTAAAATGATAGCGATCTCATCATGCATTTTTTTTGTGCTCAGACTTCAGATTCAGTCTCTGCATTTAGCTTGATTAGAATTATATTAAAAACAATATGAAGACAGTTGCTTGAAGGGATACTATGACAAAGTATATTCAGACATTATAACATATATATGGGTAGGGAAAGAAAAGTATTTTAAACTGAACAGATCCTCGATTTCATTTTTAGCTGAAATGAAATTTACTGGTTCAAACAAAATCTTTTTAATAATTTGCAGAAAGGAAATATATATTTACATGATTCCAAAAAGCTATTCAGCTGTTAAAACTAAATGTGACTATTAGGACTTTTTTCCCCCCAGCTATATATGCCGAAGATAATTTGATCTAATAAGTTAAACCAAGTAGAGATTTATGGAATTAACTCACCAGTAGGAAGAATACAAATTAATAAAAGTAAATATTTTTAAAAAGTATATTAGTTTTTGATGTTAATTTCGTTATAAAAGTATCTCAAAACATCATTACAACAGTGTGATAAATAATATACAAATGATCTCTTAAAATACCATGAATAGGGAGCCAGCTTCCCCAAAAAATGTTACTCTTATATCTTGCTTTCCTAAAATGACTTTGTAAAACCTGATAAATATTCTCAGCAATCTTTCTAATAAACATCTAATATTGCTATCAATTAGATTTTAAACTTCTATACATAGTAAACAGAATAGCTTCAAATAAATGACAAATACCATAGTGTTTCCAATTATTTTCTGCCATGATGAAACAAAAGGCACTCACGAACATGATTGCAGCATCTACCATTTGCCAGGAATCGTGGTCCCACATTCATACCACTGAACATAACTGATTTGGGTATGACCACCTATTTCTCCAAACTGGACAGGTTCTTGGCGAACTGCTCTGAAATAGCCTAAGAGGCAAAATAATTTAATTTTAATAGCTGCTATGTTATAATTCTTGCCCTCACCACTCATAGATTGAATTTGTCATTGAATGGCTGAAGGTTACTCTAGATCAGTGGTTCTCAACCTTCCTAATGCCGCGACCCCTTAATACAGTTTCCTCATGTTGTGGTGACCCCCCAACCATAAAATTATTTTCGTTGCTACTCTATAACTGTAATTTTGCTACTGCTATGAATTCATAATGTAAATATCTTTTTGTTTTCCGATGGTCTTAGGCGACCCCTGTGAAAGGGTTGTTCGGCCCCCCAAAGGGGTCGTGACCCATAGGTTGAGAACCGCTGCTCTAGGTGAAGCAAAGTATTTTAGAATGTGGATAGCAACAGAGGCCCTGGTCTTTTCTGAAGTAGTAATGAGTGGCTAAACATCAGGGGCACCTGGCAACTCCTTGCCATCCCCCTTAAGTTAGGATGGAATGATTGGGAGCGAGCATCTGGGAATTAAATCTGGAAAGCATTAGGAGTCAGGGGTTTTGTGTTTTGTTTTTTTTGAGGGTCGTCAACCATGCTCAGTAAGTATATCCTGTCATGCGAAAGTGTACTTTCAGCACGTTACAGACTAGTGGTGGTCTGTGAAGAACTGACCTGAGTAAAGGTGCTGTATTTACTACAATGTTATTAAGAAACAAAAGAAGGGTAGTTCTAAGAGATTGCTAAATATCTAAGAATTAAACTTAGGTGAAATCTTCCTTCAAGGACCCTACACTAAATGATTAAAAATTTCTGTGAATATAAAGCATTATAGAAATACACAATTTCTAGTATGCCTTATGTCCAGTTCCTATGAGAGCAGTTTCAACTTCCTGTGTTCATGGGTTCACAGATCTTAGTCTTCTTTTACTATGGTTGGTGTTTTTAAGTGCCAGTGAACAAAACGTGTTGCTAAAAAGACTAGTCAAATAAAAGTATTTGATGAACCTCTTGGTGATTCCGGAGCATATGGACATTTAATTTACCCTCTTCTGCCTTGCCTGGACAAGAATTAAATTAATTTTCATCTTTTCAATCCTCATTAAGCAGCTTAGTACTAATGTGTGTCTTCAGCATTACAGTGGTTATTTCTTAGCTGGATTGTTCTACTTTAATTTCTATAATTAAGGCAAATAATACTGTTTTCCCATTTGTGGTAATAATAAAGTTTTCTTAAATTTTTGAAGGGAATAAAAAAATGCCTTTATGCTCAATATTGACAAAAAAGCCATAAAGGTAACATATGAATTGACTTAAGTTTAGGAAACTGCTTTTTTATAGCTCTTTTTGCAAATTCAGGATTTCTTGAAGTAGAATGCATTTTTATATATGGCTGTGTGTAATTTTCTTTGGCTCTTAGGGACTGGGAGGAAAGTTGAGAAACTTATTAAAGTATTCATATTAAGGTCTTAAATGAATTTTTTTTTTTTTTTGCCAGGTAATTAGAAGAGTAGTGATACAGAATTACTTTTAAAGTGATTGCTCTCCTCAGCTTGAATTCTTTTTGGGTTAATTTATTAAACCCTCTTATGAGGAAGCTCAAAAAACATACCTTCTTTGGTGGGTAACTGGTCAGAAGTCAATTGCTGTCCTGTACGTCCGTCTAAAAATGAGTCCACAAACTGGCAGTGGTCTTCTCCGTGACCTCTTTGATCGCCTATGTTATAAAATTTTCCTGAAGTCCACAAAATTAAAAGGATCATTAAGTGTTATTTTCTTTGATATGGAACAATTCTAAAATAATCAAATTGTTTCCTGTTCTTCTACTTTTTTTCCCCTTTAGTTCAAGACACCATTGTCCTTTGCCTGAACTATGTAATAGTCACCCAGTGGGCATTCTCCACCCCTTCCACCCACCCCAAATCTGTGTATTTTAAAAATGTAACACAGATGACGTTACTCCCCTCCATGGATCTCTCCAGCAATCTCCTGTTGTACTCAGAATAAAGCCCAGAGTCTACCTGGTCTCAAAGCCCCACATGATTGCATGCCTGCCTGGTCTTCCCCCTCACTCGGCCTCGGCCACACTAGGGGAACTGGCTAGGCCCACCCTTTGCATTTCTCATCCCTCTGCCTCTAGCTTTCTCCCTAGATCTTTGCTTGGTTGCTGCTTTCTCATAGTTTTCTAATTAGCACAAGTGTTACCTATTCAGAGAGGCTTTTCCTAACCATTCTAACGAAGGGAGCTTCAATTCAGCTGCTTTCTCCCACTCCTTACATTTTTTTCAAAGCACTGCATGAAATTCTTATTTACATATTTGCTGTCTGTCTCTTCCTCCTAGATTGTAAGCTACAAAAAGGCAGGGATGTGTCCTGTTTGCTGCTTTGTCCCCAACACCTAGGACAGTGTCTGAACAAAGCAGATACTATTGTTGAATGACTGAACAAACATCTACCTTTCTGTGTTGGGGCCAGCTTTATTTATTTGTTTAAAATTTTTACTGTCTCCAAATATAGAAGAAAAAAATGAGAACCCACTGAGTCTGGAGCAAGAGGTTATAGCCCTCCGGCCAGGTGTTTTAACTTATTTCTGGCAGACTTAAAATTTTAATTATGTCTTATTCTTCCATGATCATTGTTAGATACACTCATTTTATTATCAGCAGGCTTTTTATCCTTGGTTGGTTGTAACAAAATTGAGCTTGAATGTAGCTAGTGTCTTTACATTGAAGTTTGCCATGATGGACCTGTTACAAATTGCATTTTCATTATTGACCTTCTAACAGCATGTCTCAAACCCTTGTTTACTAGGCTTAATTATTGGGTTGTCAGGAAAGTCATGACGTATTTTTCTATGTTTTTCAATGCAAAAATGCGTCATGACTTTCCCGACGACCCAATAGTTCAGTGACAACCTGCTCAAAAGGAAAACTTAGATTTACATCACACCTTAGTGTCTGGAACTGTCCAAAGAAAAGGCCAAGTTGCAGAATGCTGCAAAGCATCCCCTGAAGGACGGCCCCAAACAGCTGGTAGCCTTGCTTACCTGTGAGGGAGTCGCTCAGGTAAATCTTGTATCTGAGAGAGTTGCATAGCTGCACCCCCACAAACTTCTTATACCATGTCCTTTTGACATACTGTTTGCCTTTACATTCTGAGTAAGAGTCTGAATCAAAGGGTCTTTCAGTCCAGATGGCGTCTCTTCCTCCTGCAAAAGGAAAATATATGGGTTGAGTTTGGTATCTGACTGGATACTGAAGCTGTCCTAAAAAGCTTTTTCAAAAAGCAGTTTTGCTGTTAAAATTCCATTGACTATCCCCTATTCTGTACTCCACGTCCCGTGACTATATATATATTAAATTATAGTTGACATTCAATATTAATTCAGCTTCAGGTGTACAGCGCAGTGGTCAGGCATCTGCACTGTCCATGAAGTGGTCTCCCTAAGAATACATGTGCCCATCTGATACCCTACAAAATCTTTACAATATTATTGATTATATTCCCCAAACTGTCTTTTTATCCCTGTGGCAATATTGTGGTTACCAATTTGTGCTTTTTAATTCCCTCACCTCCCTCATCCCCACCCCGTCCCATCTAGCAACCCTCAGCTTTTTCTCTCTATCTCTGAGACGGATTCTGATGAGAATAACTCTCCAGGTGTTGAAAGACTATTGTTTTCATTGATAAGACTTGAAAATGTATCCAGGTTCGGGACCTGCATACTCTTCTTTCTCTTCTAGCTCATTCAAAACAATGTATACAACTTGATATCCTGAGACTTAAATCAATATTTCTTACAAATAAAGATTTGCCAGGCCGGCCTAGTGGCGAGTTGTTTAAGAGCTGGCTTGGGACGCCAACTCTGAGCAGCCCCGGTTCGGATTTCACATGAGGGTCAGTGACGCTGCACTCTCTACAGCTAAGGTGGTGAATAACAGCTCAACCTGGGGCTGGGCTGCCGAGAGTCACCGGCAGTGGCATAGGCTGCAGTGAGGCTGCAGTGGGCTGCTGTAAGCTACTGTGAGCGGCTGGCAGCCGGTGTGAGCTGCCATGAGCCACCATGAGCGGCCGTCCAATGGCTGGCGAGCGACTGCCTCACCCGGGAAGAGCGCAATGATAATACCAACATGGGCCAGTGAAGCGATGTCCTCCACAACTAGACTGAAGAACAAAAGGACAGCAACTTGTCTGTTCCCCTTTCCCGATTCCCCAATGCTGTTCCCTCCCTAATTCCCCAATAAAATCTTATAAAAAAAAACAACAACAAGATTTGCCAATTAAAAAAAAAAGTTTGCAAAGTTCACTGTCAACTTGCTGATACCTGGTTTACTCCATTTCTAGATATTGGAGCCCAAGATGTAGATGTTTAAACACAAACCCCAATTAAGTTCCTGTAATAATCATATAAATCTTAGAGGAGTATTTTTAGGTGTTGAATACTTTCTGCAATGTTCGATGGAGACAACATCCTAAGTAATTCAGGTTTGTTTGTTTGCAATACACAATTTAAACGGCTGCTTTGATATGACTTATAAGTGAAAATGAGGGTGTTATAGCTTGGTAATTATTAAACAGAAAATTTGGTACACGAATGAAAGCAAGTTTTAAAATATGCAGCTTGTTCCCAAAACATCATAGGCTTTCAGTGTTACCAAATGTTTGAATAAGTATTCCTACCTGATTGATATTCGAATAAGACTAAATAGATTAGTGAAATCGTGACTGAAATTCTGCCATGTCTGTATAGTTGAATCAGTTTAAAAAAGCATGTGGTTGTGTTCACATTGAGACAAGTATAGTACTTACCAGAAACTGGCTCGCTCACTCTTGGATCCGCTGAGAAGAAAATAGCAAACACAGAGTCAGACGTTATTAGGCTTCAGTGGCACAGTGAAGAAGGTGGGTATTACAGTTGTTAAGAAATTTTACTTGCAAAATGGTACACTTGCTAGAGTGAACTTGAAAGCATGTGTTGTTTTGGAAATTGTTCCTGACTGGAGAATTTCCTCTGCCAGATACTCAGGTGTGTACTTTGTTTGTGATTTGAGTGTCTGGAAGCCTTCATTGCTGTTCTAGCTTTCACTTCCATTTTAAAAGTTTCCTCTTTGACTTTTATACAAAAACAACTGATGATAAAATCACCAAGATGCCATGAACTGCAACTGGTGTACAAATTATACAAATGGTGCTGTGAGTACAGATGTATCTTGTTAGGGAATTGGAGCTTAGAAGGTCAAATAAGAGAATTTCACAGCTGCTTATCATAAAATAGATCTCAAATGAATTCTCTTTCCAGATGTAGCTCAGTGTGTCTGATATTTTGATTCTAGGCATTGATGCTGGTATACACAGGAGCATTCATTCACTAGATTTTTTAATATGGGTTGATTACACACTTCTTTTTCTTTTTAAACTGACATGCCTAACTTTTTTTCTGACATCAAAATAAATGAAAAACAAGTGGTGTTTCCTTAAGGGTACCTTCTTCAGTTTGCTTTTTCCCCATAGATGATTTTTTTGAAATTCAAGAACCTGCATACTGTTTAGCTGGTTTCAGACAAGCTCCCTATGCAAAGCACTGTGGCCCTTCACATCCTTGTTGGGAATTCCTTTTGATGCGGTTACCTGATTCAGTACTGAATGCCACTGTGTTGCTGGCTGGGCCTTCTCCAAGTGGGTTTTTGGGTTTCACCTGGAATTCATAGCTGTGTAGGGGGAAAATGAGAATAAAATTGTAATATATTCTTCAGAGATAGGAAACAACATTCCCTTGTTATACTAACATTCTTCCTGATTTGTTTTGAAATCATGATGTCAGTGAATAGACATAGGTTCTAGAAGCATGAGGGAAAAAAATTCTTAATTTTACTTTTCCAAACAGCTTGTCTAGTGTTTTGTATAAGAAGAAGAGTGTTAAGTATTTTTTAAAAAAGGTAGTTGTCTTTTTAAAATTTTCAAATTAGAAATAACTGGACAAATTGGTAACAGATGTACAGAAAAGAGGTATGTGGTAGACCCAGGGTAATTCCAGCAACAAGGACCCTCAGTTTTTTTCAGATGTTTCAGCTGCTTCTTGGGGCAAACAAGTGGAAGATTTCTTTTTATTCCTTATTGTCCCAACCCTGGGTAGAGCCTTAGGCAGTGTTCCTCACTGTGGGGTTTGAATGACCTATGTCAGAATTGCGTACTAGAATGTGGCAGTGGGGAAATACTTTAAATGCAGATTTCTTGCTCCAGCCTAGCAACTGAATCAGTTTTATTGAGGAGATCCAGGTAGGAACTTAAATTCCTGAGGTGACTCCTGTATCCACTGATATATGAGTACTAGACTCAGCTATGGGAACAGATGCATGTGAAAATGTTTCTTTGCAAGAACTTCCTGGTTGTATCTCCCAGAACTCAGGTCTTCTGTGGATCACAGCCACCCACAGGCAGGTATCTCCAGATAGGGGGCATGGTGCTGTCACCTCACAAAGAGCATGGGCACAAAGAGGCTTTTCTCTCCCTCTCTAAACCAGATTCATTGGGCCAGACCCTTAACCCTTTACCTTGAAAAGCAAAGCACAAAGTAAACCCAGATCTCTTGAAGTTATAAGTACCGTATTTGCCGGCATATAAGACGATTTTTTGGCCCTGAAAAATATGCCTCCAAGTGGGGGGTCATCTTACACGCCAGGTACACTTCAGATAGACTGCCCATAGTGCTTGCCCCATGCCATAGTGGCCTCCCGATGCCCGCCCACTTCATTCCACATACCGTTCAGGCATCAGCAGCGCTGCTGGGTGTATG